CAGATTATAATCACCTAATCGCAGGATGTTTTCTTTATAATTCTTCATTTTGATCTCAATAAGTGGGGGAGACAGTTTAAAAAGAACATTTTATTCTAGCCTTTCTTACTTTTCAAGCCAGCTTTCTGAAAACACAGAGTTCTTCAAATATTGTTCGATGCTGAGATAATTTTGTATTCCAACATGACGATAAATTAATGATCACAAAGATCTGGGAGGCAAATTTAAAAGCTCTGCATCCACCACAGAAATGCCGGTGATCATGAGGAGGCCTAGGCACCATTTCATCCTATTTGACTAAAGGTCGCCATGAATTGGAGTCACCTTGACAGCAGCTGTCTATCTATCTATCTTCCAGGTAACCAAGTGCTCTGGGTGATATAGAAATCATCAACAAAATTGTAAACCCCTTTGAAAAATAATCATATGTGCAGGAAAGAGTTGACATAAATATAATTAAGGAACACAGAACTCTGAGTCACTGGGTGGGCCAATGAAGAGAAAGGAAAAGGGAACTCAGAATTAAGAGACCCATCCTCAAGTTGGTATTTCCACAGCCAGACTGGGTATCCTCCACACAGTCCAACTAGAAAATGTGGGTATAAATGGTTCCTAAGGTCTTGTTCAAGGAGCCCTGGTGGCACAGTGGTTAAAGCATTCAGCCGCTAACCTATAGGTTGGTGATTCAAACCCACCAGCTGCTCCGAGGGAGAAAGATGTGGCAGTCTGCTTCTGTAAAGATGACAGCCTTGGATACCTTATGGGGCAGTTCTGCTCTGCCCTATAGGGTCGCTATCAGTTGAAATCGACTCGACGACAATGGGTTATGGTCTGTTTAGAACACTGAAGGTAAAGTAGGAGCTCCTTCATGAAGCGGGGTGTCTGCAGCCAGCCTTGAAGTGGGCAAAGGAGCATAAGTGAGATTCAGGGTCAATGAAAGCTCTACAGAAGTCCATCGTTCAGTTTCCAGAAATGAAAGAAAAGGAGAAGTAGAAGGCATTAGATTAGAGGGAATTTTTTATTCAATGTAATTTATAGCATTTGCATTTGTAATCATTTCTTCATTTTAAAATGTCCAAATTTACCACAGTATTGTTAACAAACATATAACCCTCTACTGTGCTTTACAAAACAGTTGTTACAGAAATGCATGGATTTATACAATATGTCTATTTCTTATTGTATTTCATAATAAATTTAAAGACATGCTCCTCTACAAGAGAAAAATATATATATAACCCCTATCAACAATCAAATCTGATAAATCAAATTTAAAAATTCAAGAAGTCTTAGAATTACACATCCAAAGGAAAATGGCCATTTTCTTATGTCCCACTTTCTCCCTTTGCCTCATTGGCATATGTCGATGACTGAGCTTGTAGGGGGAGACATTTTGTCATTAGAGGAACTTAGAAGTGAAGTAATGTGACCACTGAAAAGATCTCGAAACTCAGAAGTGGAGGAAAGGGGTGAGGACCCCCAGGGCAGCCGTGGTTACACAACCGTCATGTAAAACATGGACAGCCTGTGCAGCAGATGTAAATGACCAAGGAAGGACTCTTTCTTGGCTAGAAGACTTGTCAACATAATTATAATAAAATAATTGAAGTATGGGAAGATGCAGCATTGGACACACACGTGAACAAGAATTTTGACTGAGAATGGTTACGTACATAAGGGTGAAGGTATAAGTAAATGGCACGTAACGAGTATATAGTTTTCTCACAAGCAAAGATGTAATGTAGATGAGCAGTTCGCACATATTTTGGTCTCAGGAGCCCTTTACACTCTTAAAAAATATCGCCATAAACAGCTTTACTTTGCTAAGTTATAGCTATCAATATTTACCACATGAGAAATTAAAACTGAGAAAATTTTCAGACACAAGAATACACAAGCCACAATCCGTTAGCCATCAGAGCAGCGTGTGGACTCTGGAAAACTTCCCTGGACACTGTTGAGAGAATAACGAGTTAAAAAGGCTCTGACTCATGGGTACAAGAGAAAGAAATGTTACCTGGTCCTACACCATCTTCATGATCATTGCTATGTTCGAGTTCATTGTTGCGGCCACTGTGTATTTTGAGTGTCTTCCAACCTAAAAGTTCATCTTTCCAGCACTCTATCCAACAATATCCTGTTGTGATCCATAGAGTTTTCAATGGCTGATTTTCAGGAGTAGATGACCAGGCCTTTCTTACTAGTCTGTCTTAGTCTGGAAGCTCCACTGAAACTTGTCCACCATGGGTGATCCCGCTGGTATTCAAAATATCGCTGGCATAGCTTCCGGCATCACAGGAACACGTAAGCCACCACAGTATGGCAGCTTAAAACAGGTGGTAGAAAAAGGCAAATAGCACCTTAGTATTATTACAAAAGTACTGTTGACCTCATAAACTCCATGAAGGGGTCTCAAGTACTCCCACACTTTGAGAACTGCTGATATAAACCAAACTATGAGTTTGATGTCCCCCCTAAGAACCACTCAGCTTGGGCTTGTCAGGAGAAGAGGCAGAAAGGAGGTGCCCATGATTTCTCCATCCTTCTTCTACCAGAGAAGCATACTTAAATATTTTTTTTACATTTTTAATACTAGGATTCTGAATTTATGTTCCTTTGCCTATAGAATTCCATAGGGAAGAGAAAGTTGTTTTTAAATCACCAGTATATTGTGTACCATGTGGTACAGTGTGTAACAGAGAGAAGAAACATTAAGGATTATAAAAATTATAGCCTTCATTTTTTAAAAAAGAGGGAAATTTTTCAACTGAGAATTGATACCTTAGTTGTAAGAACAGTGCACACATTAATTTTCTAAGAACCCAAGAAGTAAGTTTGTCACATGAATAAAGTTTATAAAATACATACTAGCAAATAATATATATATAGTAACATCCTATTGTGACTATTTTTTATAAGTAAATATAAAACAAAAAAACCTTTGCCATCGAGTCGATTCTGACTCATAGTGACCCTATAAGACAGAATAGAACTGCTCCGTAAGGTTTCTAAGGAGTGACTGGTGGATTCAAACTGCCAAACCTTTGGTTAGCAGCCAAATGCTTACCCACTGCTCCACCAGGGCTCTGTAAGGAAATATAGTTATTCAGAAATGATGTATTGAGCACCTACTACGTGCCTGATACTGTGCCAGGTACAAAATAAATGCCTTCTTTAATTAAAAAAAAAAAAATCTCTGAATTAGCTTTTGGAGATTTGTAAAGGCAAGAGGCTCCCCCATTGTGCTGGGGGATGAAAGGGTGAGCGAGTGTTTACAGATGCAGTGGAGAGGCTGGGGGGGACGCCGACGCTGTCTCAGTTTTAAGAAAAGAAGCCTTCCAATGGAAGGCTGAAAACCAGGATCTGTCCTCGGCTCATCCCCTGACACACTGAATTACAGGGAAATCTCACTGCTCTGTGCCTCAGTTTCCCAAAGTCTCTCTAATAATTACCTCCTTTCAGTAAAAAGAAAAGAGAGGTATCAGTATGAGAAAGCCTTAGAATTAAAGGAGCTGAATTAATGAATGAAGTCCAAGTATTTTTTAAGTTTTTATTGAACAATAACCTACTTACAGAAATGTGCAGTTAAGTATAGCAGCACCCAGATCAAGAAGTGGACAATTACAAATACCCCAACATCCCTCCCTTGCTCTTTGCAGTCACCAGCCATCTCCCTAGGGAAACCACTCTGCTGGCTTCTAACAGCATAGGTTATGTTTGCTGTTTCTGTGTCATTGTTGTTGTTGTTAACTAGCTTTCAACTCATGGCAACCCCATGCACAACGGAATGGCCCAGTCCTGTGCCATCCCTATGATCAGTAACATTATGATCCATAGAGTTTTCATTGACTGATTTTCAGAAGTAGATCACCAGGCCTTTCTTCCTAGTCCATCTTAGTCTGGAAGCTCCATTAAAACCTGCTCAGCATCATAGCAACATACAAGCCTCTGCTGACAGATGGGTGGTGACTGTGCAGGAGGTGCATTGGCTGGGAATTGAATCCGGGTCTCCCACATGGAAGGTGAGAATTCTATCACTGCCTCCTTGCTGTTTTTGCACTTTATATTAATGACTGAATCATGCAGGATATTCTCTTTGTGTCTGGCTTCTTCTCCTCAACGTTTCATTGTGAGATGCAAGCACATTGCCAATCGCAGATATATAGACTGCTCATTCTCAGTGCTCCATAACACTGCAGTGTGTGGACGTATCACACTGTATTCATCCATTCTACCACTTGGATCACGAAGTATTCAGGCCATTTCATACATAGCCTTTTAGCCTTGGAGAAGAGCAGAGATTCTTACTGAGAAGGACGAATGTCACCGATGAAATTCACCACCTCTTTTCTACTTTAAATTTGTCCAAGAAGTCATCGGTTGTTTCCTTTTTGTATCTGAATTAGAGCTGATCTGACTATGAATTAAGTATTATACTTTTGGCTGAGAGTTCGGGACAGGAGAACGGAGGTTAGTCCGTCATCAAAACTGACCTGGCTTTTGATGGTGATTGTTTCTGAAAGGAGAGGCTGCAGCTCGTGTTCCTTCTTGATTCTCTGAGTGTGCTGTACAGAGGATACTCATCAAAGTCTGCTGGCTGGTGGACAGAGTAGATGGTGGGTGGGCGAGGAAATAGCACCCAAACAGGATACAAAAAAATTACCACTTTAGAAAACGAAATGATGTTTACATACAAAAGAACACAATTTCTTATTCACACATCCCACCCATGACATTAATCCAAGCCTTCACCTGTGGCTGTATGTCATCTTTTCCACCCCTAGTAATTGACAATTTCTGACTTTGAAGTGGGAGGGAAGAAAAAGAACCATAGCTGCCCTAAAAGGAACGAGGAAGTGAGCGCTCCCGGGGTCCGGCTGGCTGTGTGGCTGACGGCCCGTGACGTGCCTTCCGGAGTCAGTGACAGCCCGCGTTTCCACCTGCCCCCCTCCGGTTTATAAGGCTGTCCACGGGAAGTCAGCGCGGCTCCGTCTCCTTCTCTCACCAGTGGATTAGTCGCAGCCCAGGGTCATGCTGTTTTGCCTCTTTTCCCCAGCTCACCAGAGGTGAAAGAACTCTGGCTCAAGACCCTCCGAGGGTAAGTACTATAAATTACCACGAACAGAAAACAAACTGCCTAGCAGATGGCAGGTCATGAAGCTCCTGTCAAGAGAAAACAGCTGTCCGGTGGGACAAGTATGCAACGGGGTTACAAAGCCGACAGATTTGCTTCACTGTCAAGTCTGCTTCTCGGGGCAGGAACCCTGCAAATGTTGTCTTTGTTTTACGTTAACCCTAACGAGCATCCTGGAAATAAGTTTTTTTCCTTTTTTGGATTAAAAACCAAATCCATGCAAAGCGCTTACTGCAGTGCTTGACGCATGCATAGTGAGCACTCACAAAAAAAGTTAGTTGTGATTGTAATGCTATTCAGATTCTCTCTTGATGGCAATGTAATAAACGAATAACACATTTTGGAATGGTGAATAGATCAGGTTTAAATAATTTAGAAATAAGGGTGTTCAGGTACTGTTCTTAGTAGTTTAAGACATCTGGTAACCTGTAAGTCACTTTAAACGAGAAGTTTTCTAATAGTTTGAAATTTTGTGTTTTGACAAAGTGGCACGGAAACTGACCAGCTTCTTAGGTGCGTGCATCCTAACTCTTTTCCATACTGATTGGTTGTAGGCAGAACCACGGTCGCAGGAGCTCAGTTCATCACTGGACAGTCAGCCCAGCCCCTAATGAAGGTGATAAGTAGCTGCAATTCTGTACGTGCCCTCCAACATTGTTTAATTCACATTTTCTAGAAGCAAGAGTCAAAGATGTTTACCTAATTTTGTTTTTCTCTCTTTTAGTCAAAAACACTAAATGCCGATAATATGGAGACATTAATCGGATGTCAACCAGAGGTAAGAAAGCAATTTTTCAACCTTTTAATCCGCACCGTGAGAACTTACTCTCTGCACCGAGAAACTCCTTTCTGTTCTAACAGAGTCTCATCTGGATTGTTTAATTATCAGAGTAGAAAGTTAGCATCATAAATACAGTAGATTAAACACGTTAACTGGGATCTTATATGATGACAATCGAGACTTAATCTTAATTCTAGAGGCTAGAAAAAAAATCAATGCATTGTACCGACTTGATCTTTAATATGAATAAAACGTTGGTGTATTCTGTGGGGAAAGACTGTAGGTTCCTTCTGTCAGTGTGTTTAAGCGAAATAAATGTATTTCCAGGGTGATGTCAAGGAACTTCCTCTGCTGGCATCATGTGAGAGTGAAGATAGTATTTGCCAGCTAATTGGTGAGTTTCGAAAACATAGCAGTCTTTGACATAAGTGCTAACAGCCAGTATTCTTGGTTTGCAAAACCGCAGTACTTTACTAGGAATTTTTTTTTTTTGGTAAGTGTTGTTTTAAAGATCACAGAACGTTAACTCTTAACTAGAAGGCATACTCCAGCTTGCTGGAGTAGTGGAATGCCCTGATGGGAAAGATGCTATCTATAGCCAGCTCCCCAGTTCTCCAAAGGGTTTTTAGCGGGATAAACAAATCACTTAAACTGTGTGCACATATGAAAAAGACACAGTGCCTTTCCTGTGTTCTTCCTTCTTTAATTAATGGAGAGCGAGTCTAAGAGACCAGGAAGCAATTGTTGCTTATATCAAATCCCAAAGAACCCACCCTTCACCCTTAATTTTTTTTTTTTTTTTTTTCACAATGCATTTCATTGCAACATAACCCTGACCCAGGACTCCTGAAGTTTAAGGACAGGCCACTTCTCTCTCTGCCCTCCTTTCATTTGCCACTATAAAATGTATAGGAACATATGACAAGCCTTTAGAAAATACAGCTTTTATAACTAGAAAAAGAAAGAAAGAAGGAAACTTGCGAGGTGCAACACTCATCGCACACAAGTCTGGCTCACGTTTTCCTGGTGCCTCCCC